TGAGAATAGTTGACGATCATTCAGGTTGTTTGATATAAATCAATCAATTGTGATCGATCAGAAATACATCAATAGATTTCTTTCTTTGATTTTTCTCTTGATCAGTTTTAATTCGATAGAATCATATCTTATCGATCTTTTATTTCAGACTGATTATAATCTGATTATTCATTTAAAAATTTTACATGAATTGACTTGACTTATCAAGCTCTGCGTCTACCATCGTTACCTATAGTACAAAACTCGAACTACGTCCATTTTCTTGAATCTTGTGCTTCTTATATAAAAGGTCTCCTTTATCATTACCATAAAGATATGATATGACTTTGTGTTTGGTTATCTAAAAGTCAGATACATGGTTTACAATGTTGTCAATGTAAAGGATTGAAGTCAAAATGACTCGATTCTCAATGTTCATTTAGACAATAATTACAGTTGATTACAAAACTGAATCGATTATAACCGATGGAATCGAAACAACTCTGTTTTTTTTATGATTGTATTTGTTTGCAAATAATCATCAGAAATCAATTTGAACCAATTAGAATCTAGAATTGGTTCTAATCGATTATATCGGATTCAAATCGAAATGATTCTATTGTCGATAATTACTGAACAAATAATTATAATTGATTATACATTATAATCGATTACAGTGAATTCTAATTGGAAATATCAAATTTTGTTTAAATAAAATCATCATACAATCGGTTAAAATTGATTTTCTCAAAAATCAATTTTAATCTCTAAAATAATCTAAACAATAGCCATTTTTCTGATGATAATCGATTCATTTTTGTATTAATCGATTTTCATTATTTCTTGGATGATTATTCGCTTAAATTATTTAATATGTAATTCTATCTAAAAATATCAACTCTTCTGATGAAATTCTGGTAGAGTCAGACTGCAAACATATAATTTCTAGTAGATCTCATAACAAGGAGTAAGTAGTTGATCACTGTGATATATTGTCCATGTCTTGAAGATGCAAAGAGCAAACATCATCATTTAGTTCAGCAAAGTTTATCTTAGGGTTCAATTATCGACAGGAAAACACACTTCAAAATGCCACGGACTGCCATCAAACTACCAAATTTGACTAAATACAGCACTGTTTTAACTTCTACTCAAAATAGAAATCTAACATCAGAATCACATCTCGTATTAAAAACCAATCCTATCTACCTATATCTCAAAACATTCCGACTACTCTTATTTTCGTAGAAAAATTTAGTTCGGATTTCTTGAGGGATGAATCAAAATATTAGTTTGACTGTCATCGCCAGAGGCATGATTCCTTCTCTCTACCATGTGCTCTCTCTCTCTTTTTCATGTTTGATTCTATGCTATGCTTTTTTTCTCTCTTGATTGTGTGTCTTGTGTGTGTAGCTTCATCGTATAGTGTATGCATGTAATGTGAGAATTTCATTAATTATTATCTTTGAATAAGATTAATGCTGACATAAAAATTTTATATAGAAAAAGAAACTTAAGTAGAGAATAACAAAACTAAAAGTTTTTGTTAATAGTGTCTTATAGTTTTTTCAATACCAAACAGGCACATACATATTGATTACCATTAATAACTAAATCTCGTCTTTCTTTTAGTTTTTCTTCGTATACTATCCAAAAATCTTTTGATATTTCATTGATTTCTTCTTTTGAACGACCACTCATACGTAAAACTTGATGTATTAAAGATTCCATTGTACTTTCAAATACTTTTGTAAATATTTTTGCCAATTGATCAAATGATAATATACCACTGTGATATAGTTCAAGTGTAGGTACTTTCAATTGACTTAATTCAGCTTTTAACAATTGTAATGAACATCGATCAAATAATTCATAATCCATACATTCAGATAATGAACGAAGATATAATGGAACTGTAAAATTCAATAATTCTTGTTCATTAAAAAATGATTTAGCACATATATATAATTGATCGAAATAATTGCCTATACTATCAATTCCTTCTTCATTAAAACTTGGAATACTAAGAACTAATACTCCACCTGATACAAGTTCACGAGAACGATGTTCTATAAATGTATTAAAATCAAGTTTGGCTTGTTGTTCATATGCTTGACGTTCATCATTGTCGGCATATGTATGAAAACAATGATTTTTAATATGAAATGGTATTTTTGATAACCAATGTAATGATGAAGCTGTAAAACCCATAGCAAGACTCTTATCTGGAAGACATTTTTGATAAAATGAACAACCATTTGCTACACCATTATATGATTTATCTTCGGCAAGAAGTTGAAAAAGTTTTGTCCAATCATTTGTTGGAAGATCATTATGAACAATAAGTGGTGGTGAAACAAGTTTATTTTTTTCTTTAAGATATTTAAGAAAAATTTTCATAGCTATTACTGAATTTCTTCCATGTGATGAACCAAAATCAGCTATAATCAATGGTGAAGATGAAACATCTAATTCATCAATACCAAACTCCATATAAGGTGTCATTAAATGAATAATAGCTAATTGTGGATCAGAATTTTCATTATAACTTCCAGACATACCAGAAGTTGAAGCTGCATTTGTCGTCATTTTTCTTTCTAAATAAACATATAACAGATGATCACATTCTAATCATGGTCGATCAATTTTCGGCCGTATGGAAACTAAATATATTCATTTTTTCCTTATTTCATCATCTGAGATCTCTTGTTTAAAAAAAATATTCCACTAGGTACAATGAGGAAAGCTCTACATTTTACATATGTTATTCTTTTTTTTTTCTATTGTGACTCATATAGTGGCAAAAAATCTGAATAACAGACAAATGTCAATATGAAATTCATTTGTGAACATTCAGAAAACAAAAAATGAGATCTGCTACATACAGAATGTTTCTAACAAGGAGAGATGCTTATTTGTTTAGACAATCAATAGAAATGGTATGCAATCTCTCGAAGTAATAATGCATTTATTTACCACTCGAGGAAGAAAAAAAGGAGAACAGAAAAAACATGGGGTTGAATATTTCGTTGTAAACAATTTTTTATACTTCAAAATATTCAGAATGTGAATCGAGTATTTATTAAAAGACTAAACTTCAAATCGGAAAGCCTCTTTCCAACGGATAATATGCTATTAAATTAGAACTGACTAGAGATTCTTATGTATATCGAAGCCATATGTTTCGTTCCTTTTAATTTCTTTCATGCAAAAAAAAATATATCGTTTACTTCAGGGCCATCATGACAATACTTTTTCTTCTGAATCGATATGTACTGTATTGACAATGAACTCAATTCTCATCTTTCTGTTCGCACTTGTCGACGATTTATATATCATTTTCTCACAATGAATATGTGACCTATAGTATCTCTTTTGTACCAATCAATGACCATTAGAAAAAAAAACACTCTTATTAGTTATAATACCGATAAAGAATTTTTCTTACCAAACTTATATCTTCACTGAATATTTTTCTATTACTGTTGCCCATTCAATGTTTACTTTTGTTTTTTTTCTTCATCATTATAAGATGAAAAATAACAGGTTTTTTTATTCTCTTGTAACAGAAACTCGAATCTGTTGCAATAATTTGTTCGCCTCTTGGTCAAAATAACCTCATATTGTAATCAAAAATTTCGATTAAAATATACTGAGTTTTGTCCTTGAATTTGAGCTTGTTATGTTACTTAACTGGTTGTTGTCCTTCGATAATGAGCCTTATTCCCAATTCGCTTGTTGGCTCCTAACAAGCATAAAAAAGAGATCATCTACTAATTTATTTGTTGCTAAGGGCGGCTCTCTTCTTTCATCCATCTTTTTCGCTTTTTCAATCGTTTTGTTCGAACTTTCGAACAAAATAATTGAAAAAGCGAAAAAGATGAATGAAAGAAGAGAGCCGCCCTTAGCAACAAATAAATTAGTACATGGCCCCCTTTTTTATGCTTGTTAGGGGCCAACAAGCGAATTGGGAATAAGGCTCATTATCATCATTTCTTTTTTCTTCCAGGCATCTACAAAAAACAAATGCATTCATCTATGATATGTTTTTTATGTTACACGACTTTTTTTTTCTCATCGAACAATTCTGTACAGGTAAAGTAATCGAAATAACAACTAACACATGCTTACATTCTTTTGTATACAAATAGATTTAAGATAATAAGAGATGCAACTGATCTATATTTCAAATGTTCAATGAGCATATTCAAACAATTTCTAATTTAGAATTAGAAAATTCCAGCAGTGTCACATATCCAAGATTTTGGAGATGCCACCACATCTCCTGCGGGAGATGCCGCATCTCGCACGAGAGATGCGAGTGTGGGTGTGGAGGATGCGCCTCTCTACAGGAGATCTTACATCTCCAGTGGTGAATGGCCGCATCTCCAAAATCTTGGATATGTGACACTACTCGAAAATTCTGTGTAAAACATAACCTCTGTTCACGTACGTTGTCGACGTGAATAAGAAAAAAACAGAGTATCAATATGCGTG